ATAACTGAAATATTATTGTTTTTTATATAATATTATAATTATATTAATCATTTTAATAATGTTATTTTATTCTATATCACAATTATATTATATATTATATAATAATAGTTTTTTATTATATTAAATATAATGATAAATATATATTATATTGTAATTATATAAATTATATCATAGTATAATATAATATAGTCGTAATTTTTAACTATCTACAGTAATTCAACTTTATAATTTACTAAACGTTATTACACTGATTTTAGAACCAACACAGCTACTATAATTATAGTTTACCAAACACTAAGCTAATTTTTATAACAGCTACTTTTTCTTTCAGTACAGCTAAAAATAATTTTTCTAAAATCTCCAGCACTACTAAACTATGCTCTCACAAAACGTATGTTTATCGTTCTTTTCGTCAAGAAATTCCTCTTTCGGTTCACATTGTGGGCAAAATTGCTTTCACACATCCTGTTCAAACATAATTCAATGATATGGGACTTAATGAGTTATATAAACCTGACAACCTAGCAAACTCACACATAATGTGAACAAAAATATTGCAAGGAAAGTAATGAGTATGTTCCCCAACAGGTTTGCAGCATGATGTATTGGGATGGAGACTAATATCTTGGTTTTTATAAGTAAATAACCCGAGATCAGTTTTTGGAGGACCAACACAAAAGTAATTCCAACCTGCAAAAGTCTTTATATATATATATATATATATGTGTGTGTGTGTGTGTGTGTGTACAAAGGTCAAAAAAAAAAAACACGTTTAGAAGATTTGTTATCGTCTTGGCTCTTGTTTTAAGATTCGTGTAATCCTTTGGAAATCTATTTTATGGGCATAGTCCACGCCAACTCCCCTGAAATTAACTTGGAAAAGCTTTAGCCATGAACTGGCTGGTGGTCCTCCTCCAGCAAATCTTTATGGACCTAAAAGATCTTCACAAATCCTGAAAGAATATTGGGATCGACTTTGGTGCCGTGGAATGGAAATAATACATATACATATAGTCTAATTTGTGTCTCTTTGATCAAGTTAATTATTTGATGTCCATAGAAAAATAGGTTTATTAACGACACCGCAGACAAGTCATCTAGAGAAGAACCAATCCATTACTAATAAACTATATAAAAAGACTACTACGTGTGTTAAAATTTGATTGGAAGGACTAACCAATATTGGGACAGCATATTTGAACTTGACATTTATTTGCATGGCTAAATTAATTAACTTTTACTAAATTAAAGTCTAATATCATTGTCTAGTACCCGATGGGCATAGGGTTGTTTTTCTCTTCTTCTATTTTTCTTTTTTTAAAAAAATTGTCATTATAAAGAGATTTCGTCGTTATTATATGACTTCATTTGACTGCATTAGCATCTACAGCTGTAGGAAAAGTTGACACTATTTTATAACTTCAAAATTTCACGTCCGTGTGTCTCTATTTCAAGCATCATGATATGACAAGTATTGATATAAATGTGTGTGTGTGTGTATACACAATGGCTTAAACTTTATAAGATATATATATATATATATGTGTGTATATCATATATATCTATGAAAAATCGTCTGCCAAGTGCCATCCCCTAATTAGTTATTCTCTTGAACTTCAAATCAATTGGCTTGTATTATTTGTTTTCTTTTTTAATATTTAAAATAAGGCAGTCTTCTAACAGAATCAGCGACACAGATCTTGGATATCATTTCCGTAGATTTTAAGGTATCCAATGAAGAAAATAGTGGAGTGAGAAGCAATAATATTCGATATCCCTAGCATCTCAAGTCATCAAAAATATTCGTAATATTCAAACGAAGAAGATTTGGAATCTCAGACGATATTAGAAGTACTCAATTCATTTCTTATATATTCAAATTCGCAATTCATTTTCCTCATGTAAACGAATTACTATTGCAAAAACTTGCTTACGTTGGAAAGCACCAATTGATAATACAAAGTTTAGTTAGTACACTATTGTTTTCCCCAAGTTCGATATAATTAAGTATAATTAGTGGCTATTGCCAGAAGTTCCGCACTATGAAAAAACTAATATTAGATTTTTTTTTTTTTTTTTGGTTAGATAGAAACATAGTTATAAATTTCTCATAATAATGGGGCAAAACTGTAGCTTTTCAGGCGGGGGGGGAAACAGTACTCAATTAAAATTTCACTAATCGGCGAAGTACTCTGATGCATTAGTAGTTGCTAAAGCTCTTAAAAATAATGTTGCTTTCAATAAGGAGTATTTAATTAAGAAAATCTTTCTTTAATCGAATATATATATGATCATATAAAAGGATGCTTTATTTAATATAATATTATAACAGATTTAGAGTGGAAAGAAATACTACTACTAATGAAATTAGTAATATATAACAAACAAAAAAATCCAATGCATCCTATAACAGTATTAGAAATAGTAATGTAAAATGATTAGTGGAATTGCACAAGTGAAAAGGGACATGTGAGCCTAATCCATGCAAAGACTTGTCTCAAATTAAACGCTTGTCTTTATAAGGACTACAAGCTTGGTAGAGTCGAAGATTGGAGTAAACTCATCATCGTATAACTGATCAGCAACTGAATGTAATAAATTAATGTGGTTGTCCACAAAAGCATGTGTTTGTCACCCTCGTTCATTTCACCGATTTGAGTTTTCAATTCTACGTTTCTACAGTAAAAAGCTCTCAAAAAATGTCACATCTAACTTTTTTTACTACAGTAAAAAGTTCTCATAAAATGTCACATCTCAGCTCGAATTAAAAACTCGAATCTGTGAAGTGAACAATCTCAGCTAGTCCGCTTTACCTTACCCTTTTGAGGGTCGTTTTTGTTTTACCTACACCGGTGATGAAATATATGTTGCACCTGTCCTAAATTTAAGTGATCACATTACCTGCAATCCCTAATTTGATCATAATTACTTGGTTAATTTTCTTCTTGCAAAGGTTTTTTATTTTATTTATTTACTTCACTACTGAAGTTTCAGTTATATCATCCCACTCGGAGTTTAACCCACAGATCAAAAAATTGCTTAGGTATGTAGTGGACACTGGAGTCAGCATTCTACTTTAGTGAAGGCGTATATTAATTTTTTTTTTTTTTTTAGAAAAATGCATAACATGGAAATATGTGAAATTGTATTAAATTATTTTTCACAAAAAAATCAAATACAGATTGAAAGGTGTAAGTTCAATAAGGGCATGTATGAGAACGTAAAATTTTAGTGGGGGCAAAATAGAAATGTCTTTAGATTAAAGCTATAAAAATTTAGTGACAAAAGTATTGTTGACTGTTGCTGTCGTTTCAGAAAATACTTGTAGTTCATTAAAGGATTTTTTTTTTTTTTCTGGGAACTACATCAAGGGGATGTTATTGTTCTGGACTGCCGTTGTGTTGTTTTTCAAGTTAGTGTTGGCCTGTTTTTTTTTTTTTTTTTTTTTTTTTTTTTTTTTGGTCTTGAGGTTGCATATATAATATCAGCCTACTATTTATTAGAACTATCATCGTCTTATTAACCTCAACATCCCGTGTCGTTTTGTTGCCGTTTTACTGTTTTCAAGTTATCCTCTCTGCTTCTCGACATTCTTGTCGTTTAAATACTCGTGGCCTTTTCAATTATTGTCGTTTTCCTCAATGATGTCATTTTTATTGTCGTTTTAAATTTCCGCCATTATTCTCATCTTAAGGGTTACTGTCGTTTGTATGTTAATTTTCGACGCTATTGTCCTTTGCCAGTAGATATTGTCGTTCAACAGTTATTATCCTTTTAAATAGGTTGTTCTCCGTTTCGGTACATTGGTCGAGTTTAAATTTTTTCCATTGTTGAAGTGCGATAGATATAGAGAATATACTAAATAGATGGATATTACATTGTCGTTTTGTTTGAGGAAATGTCGTTTAGTTGCTTTTGAAAGTAATCGTTTCTATTTTTCGAAATTATTGTAGCTCGAATGAATTATAGCCTTTTAAGCTATTGCCGTTGTTAAGTGGTTAAAGTGTTGTTTTTAAGTCTTCAGTGTCCTTTTCGCAGTCCAAAACAAACAAAAACAAAAACAAAACAAAAAACAAAAGAAAGTATACGCTGTCTTTTCTTAAATATTTTCGTTTGTACAAATCGTCATGTTGACGTTTTTATTTTTTTATTTCTTTATAATTTAGAAAAAGATATCGTGTCGAGACTTATAGCCTTCAGACTTTCTTCGTTGGCAATAACGCTGTCCTTTTTTATTTTGATTTTAAAGTGGGAGGTGTCGTTTCTTAATTTATTGTCGTCCATGTGTTACTGTCGTTTGTAGTATATTATGTCGTTTATTGAAAATATACGTGTCGTTTTTAATCATGATGGTTGTTTTTTGGGATTGTATCCTTTCTTGAGACTATTGTTCGGGTGCATTGTCGTTTTCATTCTGTTGTTTTTAGTAGACGTTGCCATTTAGAATATATTGTGTCGTTTTAATATTTTTGCTTTCTTTTAGTAGATACTGTCGTTTCTTAATCACTGTAATGGTTTGAAGAAGGATGCGGTGTCGTTTCCATCAATTTTTTGTTTCTATCAACATTGCCGTTTGTATGTGGTTGCCGTTTTGGATAATATTGTCCTTTTATTTTGAAGATTTTGTCGTATTTAATTACCGCTGGTGGCTGGATATTATGAAAAGTAACACGTTTGTTGTTTTCAAACACACAAATTTAGGATAACCCGCCAGATACATGTGCGTTGAGATTCCTTTGTTTTCATTGTATTTAATACGAGAGAGACCTTAACGTTTGTGGTCCGTATATTTAAGATAGAAGATTCAATTAAAAAAAACAAAAAAACAAAAAAAAACTTTGATTTGCAAAACAAGGAATTGAAACTACGGCTACTTTCTTTCCTGATTAAGGCTTAGACATGCCCCATCTCAATATCAAGAACAATGACAGATTTTGAACGTCTAAATAACAGCAGTTTGAGTTCATAAGGAAAGACTTTTTTTTTGTTTTTACATTCCTACAAAACTCTCAAGAAATACAAATGGAGCTTCATAGAGGTAATTCTCTTACTGACCCTGAAAAATAAGCTGACTTTCATACACCATAGTACGAGAAGAACAATTACAAAAAAAAAAAAAATTTAAAAAAAAAAAAAAGACAAAAAGAGCAGTTGGTCTTTGTCTGAATACCCTCATATTCACAGATTCCACAATCAAAAAAATTCTGCTTCAATTTACGAATGGGATAAACCAACCAGTACTCTTCCCCCTCAACCAAGCCAACTTTTTGCCTTTGCTTGCCTCTCATAGATCAATAAGACAATAATTTTGCAGCGAAACAATCATCTCGGTGAGCCAAGCAATGTCATGTCACAAATTCAGAATTATACTTTGAGCAGTGTATGACCCCATAGAATGTTGCAGAAGCGGTAGATAGCCTGAAACTCTTGACACTCATCAGTGACCAAAACCTACTGAAACAGCAGACTAAGCGGTAATTCTCAGCGTGCCTCCAAGTTCGACCGGAACAAGAGGGACAAGAGAGTGCAGAACATCCGTTATCAGAGGACGGTAACTCGGTTCGGGTTGCACACATAGCACTGCCACAGCAGCGACCTACACATAGCATATTGAAACCGGTTTGACAACAGCAAAGTATGGATGATGACAAATTTTACTTCTTTGTTGCATTTTCTTTCTTCTCTTTTGTAAACAAAAAGTAAAACGAAGGAGATCTTCTAAAATTGTTGTGTGAGAGAATCTCCATCGTTCTTTTTCACCCTTTACAGCAGAAACCGAAAGTGATAGCAAACAAGACTTAAACCACACAGCGAACAAATGCAGGGACCTTTCCTATAACTCACTGACTTATTTTTAAATTCTATTTGCCACAGCTTACACATACATGCACACAGTATTTATATCAAGAAAGTTCCTTTTTTTTTTTTAAATTTGCAACCCATTAATGTGGAAATTAGCCATTTCATTTTCCAGTCCACAAACCTGGTACAAGTGCTTCAGATCCATTGTATCTTTTATAACAGCATCTACAATGTTCGGAAGCTTTGATCTGTCAGTAAGCTGTGGCATGGCCTGCATTATAGCATAAAGTAGTTAAGTTAGTTGTTGATGTTGTTTGTTGGATACATTGGGAAAAGTGACTAGACTGCTTGGGGTTTAAGAGGAAGACATACCCATGTGACAATAGATTGGCACTGAGCTGGTGCCAGTTTTTCCACAGGCCTTCGTCCTAACAGAAGCTCCAACAGAACAACCCCAAATGCATAAACGTCACTCTTATCCGTCAACTTACCTGAAAATATTTTTGTTAGTAATTTCCTTTCAAGTTAGTTACCACCAGTGCTTAAGCAACAAAATACACCAGGATCAGCATGATCAAGATATTGCAAAAGGAAGGAGTGAAACAAGGCATTACAAATTTACAATATAAGATTTGGAAGCTGCTACTAAGGTAAATACTAAAGTTCAACTGATCCCTGTGTTTAAGGCTACCCCAGATTAAAAGGATTGAAACAAGGCATTACAAATTTACAATATAAGATTTGGAAGCTGCTACTAAGGTAAATAGTAAAGTTCAACTGATCCCTGTGTTTAAGGCTGCCCCAGATTAAACTCAGGACCCGTTTGGTTCATGGGTTCAAGTCAGCCATTTTGATTCTGAATTCAAATTTTGTGACAGAACCCATTGGCGGGAACTTCTTTTAGTTAAATTTGCTGTGAGAGACAACATTGCAGCAGAATCAGAATCATGCGTTTAAACGCGTGAACCAAACGGATCCTAAGATATTCCCAAGCCAGCAACCTGGAAAGTGGAAAGTTAAAAAACTTCAAATCACCTTGAACCTAATTATTGTGTCACCTCACTAATATTCACCAAACTTGAACATTATGAGTTTCCTTTTTTTTTTTTTTTTGGATATCTTGTTTTCTTCCAGCTAGTAAATAAAAGGCAAGTTCTTATTACGCCAACCATTGGCCTAAAATGGTAGATTAAGAGGAACTTTGAGACATTATTAATCCGGAAGATAGCATGCCCTACATGGCAGTACAGCTACCATGTGCTGCTCACTATTACTTGATGCAAAGATATATAATTAACAAACTTCACCAAGCTCAATACACTAGAAGTTGTCAGGGATCCAGAGAACAAATATAATTAACACATTAGTTGGGGAAAGAGAATAATATACTTATGAATAGACATATAGCAAAGAGTCAAACTTAAAAGACACACTTGTGCCATTATTACAAGCTTAGTTGGCATACCATCTAGCAGATACTCCGGAGCTACATAACCCAATGTGCCTGAGAGCTTGATGCTGTTCTTGTTTTGGGTCCCATCGGCTACAGCAAGTCCAAAATCGGATAACTGATTCCACAACCATTAGAGAGAGAGAGAGAGAATTAGTGATATTTATTGGGAAAGAGCAATAATAATGTACAAAATCCTACATTATCAATAGCATAGGACTCGACAATGTTAAAGATAATATAGAAGAGAGATAGGACACTTGGATAATTTTATACGTTTTCTTACTTTGGCATTGAAGTTGGCATCCAAAAGAATATTAGATGATTTCATATCTCTATGGATCACTGAAGGGTTGCAGTGTTCATGCAGATATTCTAATCCTCTGGTAAAAAAATTGGCCAATATGTTAGTGGGCAAATAGAGAAAAAAAGAAAAGAAGAAGAAGAAAAAGACAAAAGAGAAGGGGAAAAGATAATATAAACAAATAATTAAATGGGAAGACAATCTGACCTTGCTGTATCAAGAGCAATTTTCATCCGCATATGCCACGTTAATGCAGAACCATGGGAGGGTCCTACCAAATTGATGAAAAATATATTATGTAAAATGAAGCAATTATATATAATAAGACCATAGACCGCTCACCGCTTTCATGAAAAATAAATAAAAAATTAAGGCGTATTAACCAACACCAAATTCAAGTGTGTATCCAGTCATTTTTTTAAAAAGAATTAAAGAAACGCCATACCATGCAATTGCGTTTCCAGAGACCCATTTTGCATCAATTCATAAACTATAAACCTCTCGTCGCCTTGACTACTACAACCCAGAAGTGAAATAACATTTGGATGCTGAATCCTTCGCAACAAATTCACTTCATTCTGCAAAAGTTCCCAAAATTGGCAATTCCATAACCTTAATAATTTTATTAAAAAAAATAAGTAAATTTAAAATTTTCAACAAAAAAAAAAAAGTAGTACCTGGAACTCTGTCTCGGCATCTTGGCTTGTGCAATCGAGCTTCTTCACTGCAACAATCAAGTTATCTTCCAATTGAGCCTTGTAAACTCGCCCAAACCCACCTTCACCCAATATATTACTTTCCAGAAAATTATCCGTTGCTTTTTCTAGGATCTTATAGTCCATCAACAGAACAGATCCATTTTTCCCCACCAAACTTGTGGAGTGGAAGCGACCAACAAATGGATTTAATCTCAGCCCCTTTTCACCATCTTGAGAGAGGAAAAAAAAACATAACCCCATAAAAAATCAGACAATACATACGAAGCACAATTGAAGAAAATTCAAAAATAGAAAATACCCAGAAACTGGTTGTGGTAAAAAAAAAAAAAAAAAAAAAAAAAAAAAAAAGGGATAGTTCTGAGAACTTCTCTTTTTAAGTCTCTTGTGAGAAAACTTAAAGTGATAAACGCACAAAATCAACAACGACAATATGATTGCTCCTAGAATAGTGCAAGCAACGATTAGAGCCACGAGAATTCTCTTGTGGGAACCCATTTGATGCTTTGGAGTTGGACTTACTTCTTCAATTCCTGTTTACACAGTACACACAACACAAAAGATAGATTAAAAAAACAGCTCAAGTTTGGACCGTTACGCGAAATGACCAAAACCTTACAACATTAAAACATTTAAAAATAAAAGCTTTGTTCTGTTTTTTCAAACAGAAATAAACACATCTGAAGGCGGTGTATAGCTGCTATTACTATTGGCCACAAGATTAAGAAAAATTCAAACACTCTTTTATACAATATTAAATGCGCTTAATTTCGTGGGCGTTTTTCAAAATTTGAAATCTTGACAAAGGCTGAGAGCGTGACCATTCTAGAAAACCAAGCATGAAGTGAAAAGAACAGGCCACAGAGTGAGACAGAGAATGAGACATTAATAATAAAACAAAAAAAAACGAGAGAGAGAGAGAGAGAGAGATTACCAGGAGAGTGGGCAGGCATTATAGAAGAGATTTGAGAAAAGGGTGAGATAGTCGGAGAGGAAACAAGAGGGTTCTCCGGTGTGGCACCAACCCCAATGAAACATGGCTGCTGAAGAAGAAGAAGAACAAGGACTACTAGAAGAGGAAGAAGAACAAGCTTCATAGTTTTTGTTCTTTTCTATGCGTTTTTCTTTTTATATTTTTTTTTTCTTTTTTTAAGAAGACATGAAGATGGAGAAATGTGCTTTTGGAGGGCTCAAAAGCAACAAAGACAGAAAAAAGGTGAGAATGTGAAAATTTGGATGGACCATCTCGTAAGAAAGAAAGGGCTTCTCTTTCTAGTTTCTTTTTTTGAATTTCTGTGTTTTTTTTTCTTTTTTATAATATATTTTCCCATCCATCTATTTTTGTTGGAAAAGAGAGAATGGAAAAGGAAAGGGAAAGAAAGGAGGGCGAGAAAAAAAAAAAGGGTTAATATTTTTAAGAATGTGGGGGCAAGGGCACAACAGTCACATGGCCCGTGGGCAGTTGAGAAAATTTGGAACCGAATATTTTCTATTTTTCCACCAATGCTTGACTGTGTGAGAAGCCCTCCTCATTTTTCCCCACCATTCCTCTCACAGACTCCACTTTTTTTTTTTTATATATATTTTGACTGCGTCTCTTAGAATAAAAAATGATAGGCTGTGTTTAAAATTAATCTCATTTTTATTTTTCATATTTTTAAAAAAAAAATAAAAATATTTTTAAAATAGTGTTTGACGCAATAAAGATAAAAAAATATAAATAAAAATAATTTTTTACTTTAGTGTAAAATGAGAGAGAAATTGTCGTTTTTCATTTTTTATTTTTATTTTCTCATCTCTCGACCAGAGAGAGAGAAAGATAGCATTAATAGGTTTTTTTACACTGAAAATAATATCTTGATAAAACTATCAAACATATTTTTAAAAATAATTTCTGTCTGATATTAAAAACGTTTTCATTTCATTTTCATACAAAAAATAAAATTATTTTAAAAAAAGTTCCAAACACGTCCTATATATATCCTAAAATCTGTCTTCCAATCAAATTGTATCAAATTAGATAAAGTACAATGGTTATCAAAATAGAACGAGAACATAATGGTTAAAAACTGTGTTATACCCAAAAGATACCCAGCTACAAAATTCTCTCAAAAGTTTCAACCGTCCCACTGTAGGGATTAAGGTAAATATGTCATAAAATTAAGGTGTAGGGCATAAGATCATGGAGGTCCATCAAGTAACGCGAAGTTATTTGCAGCATTATTTTCTTCACTGTACTCCGTGCAAGTCATTTATGCTAAACAAGACAGAATAA